GGCAAGCAAGAGACACGCAAAAACACTGGAAAAGGGGATGGAGAAAGTAGTGGAGCCCCAGGGAAGAGGCAGGAGACTGAAAGGAAGACCGGGGTAGGTGGAGGGGAGGAGGGTAGGCAAAACAGTGGCCATCCCCTTCCAGCTCACCTTCCCTGACCCCCTTCCTGGCCTCCTCACACTCTGTGGCCCCCTCCAGTCTGGCTCCCTCGCCCTTCATTCCACCTAAACGTTCCCACTGGGGCGCCAACCACCGCCATGTTGCTAGACCTGGGAAGAGTTTCCTCCTGGTCAGGTTGGTTCTCTCTGCATCCTTCCTCCTTCTAGAACGATCCCTCTCTCTAGAAGAGACTCTGCTTTCATGCCACCTCAACCCTCTCCTCCTTGCCCTCTTCTTCTCTGCCTTCTCTTCCTCTACCCAACCCTTACACCCTGAGGGGTCTCCCCCAATGCACGCCCTCTGCCCTCCCACTATCCTTTCTCTGGAGACAACTCCATCGTCCTGGGGGTGGGGTCCCATATTTGCCTGTCCTCTTATCATCAGACCCAGGTACCCAAATGTCCCCCCCCCATTTCTGACTGTCTGTCTTACAGACATCACTCAAAGCTTAATTCATCATCTTTCCCCCTACACCTGGGAAGGAGGGAGGGAGATCTCAGAAGACTGAGGGGTCTCCCCCAATGCACGCCCTCTGCCCTCCCACTATCCTTTCTCTGGAGACAACTCCATCGTCCTGGGGGTGGGGTCCCATATTTGCCTGTCCTCTTATCATCAGACCCAGGTACCCAAATGTCCCCCCCCCATTTCTGACTGTCTGTCTTACAGACATCACTCAAAGCTTAATTCATCATCTTCTCCCTACACCTGGGAAGGAGGGAGGGAGATCTCAGAAGACTGCAGGACTTGGGTTTGAGACTAAGGCATGGAAGAGCAGAACTGCACCTGGATGCTGAGGAAATTAGCCAAGGACTAGGTGATGCCATGCCCAGGGAAGGGGTCCTTGGCAGGAATCGTACCGTGCTCTGTGAGGAGGACACGTGAGAACATCACGCCGTGGTCTCGGGGTTGTTGTTTATGATGGAGCATGTGCAAGAGACAGGCAGTGAGAGACAGCCCCTCGATGGGCTCGTCACACTGGGAACGGACCCCCCAGCCCTCCAGCGTGCTGAGCCCATGACCAACCATGGCTTCCAGCCCTGCAGGGCACTTACGCTACCTGCTGCATGACAGAGGCTGGGCCTGCCCATGGTCTTCTTAGAGCACCCTTCTCTCTCGTCAGCCTCTCTCCTAGGGACCCTCTCCCCATCACCATCTGAGGCCTGAGGACAGGAGCACCCTAGAGGGCCAGAGTGTAGAGGAAGGACAACAGAACCCCAACGGGGAGCCCGGGCAGCAGGGAGGGGCGGCCCAGGTGGGAGACCAGGTGCAGCAACCCCTGGGTCTCTCCTTCAGATGC